AGGAGTTAGGAGGTTTAAGAGCGGCGAGGTCTATGTAGTGTGTCCCCGATAAAAGCCACGGAGAGACATATCTAGTTTTGTGTTGTATTTACTGTGGTTCTACTGACATGTACACACAAAAAGTCCAGTAGGTATGAGGATATAAAGGGTGAATGTTAGGAGAAAAAACGGGCAAAAGGAGATAACGAACTGTACGCTGAAGTATCAGGAGAAAAAACTGTCAGGCATCTCACAAGCAGGTGTGGTGCATTTAAAAGGGTCAGAACGCCTACGGTGCGTTCATGAACGTCGGACATATCATTGCTCACAAAAACAATATAAATGATTATAACACTGAAGTGGATGTGAATAACAATAAATTTTCAAGATTCAAAGATATAGTTAAGGAAAGGTCTTATTTTCTCTGGGGGAAAAATCTATGTCTCAAACAAAGCCTATCAACAAATTCGGAGTCCTTTTTAGACTTTATCATTATTTGACTATTTATATAAGGATTTGAAAATGTAGAACTAAAATAACAAATATAAGAAAACTGCAGCAAGGTAAATAGCAGGTTCAGATTTGTGACACGTATTATTCCAAACATACAGAACAGAAGAAGATTTAGCTACTTCGTAAATGTTCCTACCTCTGGAGAATAATCACAGCCTCCAACGATATCAGTAAAGTCTGACGGACTTTTCTTCAGGGTCTGATCAGCAGGCAGAGTGTTGTCATTGTAAGATGATATAAATTTAAAGTCACTGGTTCTAGATCCTGTTGTCAGGTATGTGTCATAATTATAAGCGCTGCGTAAAGTTCCTGTCCCGTCAACATCAGCATAATTAGGAGGAAGATAAGCTCCTGGGATGGCCACTGCTCCATCAAACAAAAGTCTGGGCTTTCTCCTGCGACAAAACCTCAGTCCAAGGATGATAATGATGAAGGTAAGAAAGAAGGTGGACACGGAAACCAGTGCGGTGATCAAATAAGAGGTCAACTTTGAGTTCTTCTCATCATAAGAAATATCTTTCAGTTCTGGCACCTCAGCTAAATTATCAGAAATAAGTAAATACATGGAACAGGTGGCAGACAGAGAGGGCTGTCCATTATCCTTCACTGCAACAATCAGGTTCTGTTTCATGCTGTCAGATTCTAAAAGGTCCCGCTGTGTCCTGATCTCTCCACTGTGTACATCAATAACAAAAAGTCCAGGATCAGTGGCTTTGACTATATGATAGGACAGCCAGGCATTTTGTCCAGAGTCTGCGTCCACCGCTATGACTTTGGAGACCAGAGTTCCTTTATGTGCAGCTTTAGGGACCAGCTCAGTCATGAAGGAGCTGCCTTCCGGGGCGGGATACAGAATCTGAGGAGAGTTGTCATTCACATCCGATATGAACACACTGACAGTCACGTTGCTGCTGAGCGGAGGAGAACCATTGTCTCTGGCCATGACGTGCACTTTAAAACTCTGTAATTGTTCATAATCAAATGATCTTACAGCATGGATCACACCCGTGTCTCCATTAACAGATAGATAAGATGATACAGGGACACTGTTCACCTCAGCAGGTAACAGAGAATAAATCACTGTACCATTTTGTCTCCAGTCTGGATCTTGAGCAGAAACAGAGCACAAAGTGGAGCCCGGTTTGTTATTTTCATTAATATATGCGCTATAGGACTGTTCCTCAAACACAGGTGGGTTATCATTGATATCCGCTACAGACAGCTGAATGGTTTTAAAGGAGGACAGAGATGGAGAACCCTCATCGATTGCTGTGATTGTAATATTGTAATCAGAAACTAGTTCACGGTCCAGTCCGCCGGTGGTCACCAGAGAATAATAATTCTTAATGGAAGGAACCAACTTAAAAGGAAGGTTTTTTTGAATGGAACAATGAACCTTTCCATTTTTTTCAGAGTCTCTGTCCTGCACATTAATTATGCCTACCTCTGTACCAGGAGGGGCGCTCTCAGATATGGGGTTGGATAGTGATTTTAAGCTTATAGTAGGTTGATTGTCATTGACGTCTATTATATCTATCATTACTGTGCAGTATGAAGTAAGACCTGGTCCATCTTTAGCTCGTATTCGTAATTCAATCGAAGAATCGGTTTCGTGATCAATAGCACCCTTTACTTTTATCTCTCCTGTCTTTTGATCAATGGAAAACAGAGAGACATAGTTATTAGACATATGGTCGAAATTATAAGTTATCTCTCCATTTGGACCTTCATCTGCGTCAGTTGCACTCACCTTTACTATTATAGAATCAGCTGGGGAATTTTCTGGCAGGCTTGCTTTATAAACCGGCTTGCTGAAAACCGGAGTGTTATCATTCGCATCAAGCACTGTAACAACAATAACTGCTGTACCTGATCTCTGGGGAGTGCCCCCATCCAGAGCAGTAAGGACTAGTTTTATTTCGCTCTGTTGTTCTCGGTCTAATTCTTTGACCAAAACCAATTCTCCTTGTTTCCGTCCAGGAACCTCTGTATTTATATTTATGGTGAAATGCTCATTATGTTGCACAATATAGCGCTGTACAGCATTTGTGCCGATGTCCGCATCACGGGCCTCGCTAAGTAAGAATTTGGCTCCTTTAATCGCCGATTCTCTTATCTCAAATGAAATCAAGCCTTCGCTAAATTCAGGGGCGTTGTCGTTGATATCTTGCACCTGAATGCTGATGCGTTGAATCTCTAAAGGGTTCTCCAGAATCAGCTCCTCTTTCAAAACACAGGTCGACTTCTTGTCACAAAGGCTTTCCCGGTCGATCCTTTGAGTGACAATCAAATCTCCATTGCTCAGGTTTATATCAAAATATCGTTTGTCATCCCTGTCCGTGTCTATGCGAGCTTTACGAGACGAAAGAGTGGAAATCCCCAATCCCAGATCGCTGGCAATATTTCCGACCACGGATCCACTTTTCATCTCCTCAGCTATTGTGTAGCTCACATCTCCATTCGCAAAATAGAGCCGGAGAAAGATGAAAACACAAATGTGGATGAAAGAAAGTCCGCTGACTGTATTACTCATGGTTCCAAATGATACCGTCCTTATTTCTCCTCTTTGTTCGAAAAAGAATGTTATAAATTCAATTCAAGCGGTTTATCATCAAAATAATGTCGAAGCTGGTCCATTTAACCGAGAGAAACGCTGCAGCACCACGACGTTTGGGAAAACGAAAAAAAAAAGATTAAGAGACGGAGGATTTCCTTTTTTCCATGGTGTACAGTGACACCAAGCGTTCTAAACAGACGTAGAAATGAAGAAAATTTAAAATAATAATTCGTGAGAAATATGTTTATTTTTTTACTCGTTTATGAGAAAAAGTTTGAAAATTAAACAATTAGGGACTACTAAATTAAACAAGAAGATGAAGTGAATAATCTTACTGAGCCCATTAGAGACTTCATCACTAATATAAAAACACACAAAAATAGTAGTTATTACATTAACTTTGAGGCAGCACACATGCATTGGAACAAGCAAAAAACGTCTTCATGCAAAACAGCACTGCAGATATATATATTTTCTAATTTAGACACTAATGCATATTTATCTAAAAGGACATTCATCCCACCTATATCAAAACATGTGTGTATTCAAATAGGCA